TCAGCTTCTCACATTTACATACATGCTGCGATTTGCACATTAATGTGTTTCTGTTCTCTCAACATAATGGCCAACTGTTATTTCCTACAAGTGCCACCACTCGGGCTCCAATAGCACATGTGTATTTTTTACAGAGAGAGCCATTGTCTGTATTTCTATTCTAAATTCCAGCTATTATTTTGAGTGTAAGTCAACTTCCTTGTACGTTATAAAATTATTCTGTTAAAGGCATACACAGGTGACATTTTGGTTTCAGAAAAATGCTGTAATCACTTAGATACCATTTGATATAACACCATAGATGAGAAAGTAAGTCCCTTTTTCACCTTTTTTTGTAAGTAAAAAAAATGTATCCTTTTGATAGTTGGTGAAACAGCTGCAGGTAAAGCCTCCCGTAGCCTGGCACAGCACATCCCTGGCCCAGGCGGCATGGAGGGCATGAAGGGGGCTGCGTCAGGGGTTGTGGGCGACCTGGCCCGCGCCCGGATAGCTCTGGACGAGAGAGGGCAGAAGCTGGGCGAGCTTGATGAGAGAACGGCAGCTATGATGGCCAGCGCAGACTCCTTCTCCAAACACGCCCATGATGTATGTACCTGACATTTCTTAGAGCACATAAACCAGTTTACCTTACTGGCTCTGACTCTCGTTTTTTTTTTTTTTGCCCTCAGATGATGCTGAAGTATAAAGATAAGAAGTGGTACCAGCTCTGATGGCAGCGTGTGGAGCATCGAACTCTGTAATCACCATTGTCTCCATGGAGCTGCAGGTCCCTCTTCTTCTTCTCTCTATTTCTGTCCACGTGTTGGTGGTGGTGGTGGGGGGGGGATTCTGCTCAACAGACCCATGCTTTTATTCTCAGCACAATATCACACACTCTGCATTACCTCAGTCACCGGAGGACAGCTGAGGAGCAGACACTGGTCGACCAGTTCAACGAGAACGGAAAAGAAATGGAAGAAGAGAAGCTCTTCGGAATCTCTCTTTTCATTTCAAGAGCGCTGATGTTCACGTAACACCAATCCGCAGAGCGGGAGAGAGAGAGGACCTTCCATGTCCATCCATCATGCGCTCATATATACAGTATCTCACATATATATCCACACATCCTGCTGTTTTTGTTCTGAATGAGGAAAGACAATTCTGCAAAACATGTACTTGTGGTGGCCTGATTGCAATCATTCTGTTTTTTCCCCCCTTTCTCTGCCCTTTATGGTGTCCGCGATACATAGTGGACTTAAATGAGGAGAAAAGTCTGATGACCCCTTGTACTTCGAATCTAATCAAGTCAATGAAGTTGTACGTTTTCTGTAGGAATGATTGTGTCAGTGAAGGACTTGTGTTCGTTTGTTTTGTCCCTTTCTAAATTATTTTGTCAGTCTGTGTTTGACATTTTTGTCCAGAAAGGGCCTTTCAAGCACTTAGAGCTGTGATTAAAAATATGGACAGGTAGATGATGAATCTTATTGCCTCTCACTGAGTTAAGGGCTGGTAGTACACTAGTTCATCACCGACCGTTCCTTTTTAGAGCATTTTCCAACCAAGTTATTTTCCACGACAAAGCTAAATGACCTGTTTTCTGAGAGTCACTTTGGTTTTATTTGAAACTTCAGTTATTTATTGGAGCAGTATAATAGATAGGAATTCAATGAGTTTGTATGTTGGGCATTAAAATTGTGTTTTTTTCTCCTCTGGTAGTAAAATTAGCAAAAAAAAAATGCTGTAAGTGTTTACCCCTGATAAAGAGTTTACATCATCAGAAAGAGTTATTACACTGGAGAACTCCTGAAGGTCTTTATATTCCTCAGCTTTCATGGGGCTGTTGCTTTGTCACGTATGAGAAGGATGATATGTTAAAGGGCAAGACAAAGATTGTCCGTAATGTAATTAGCATAAATGTATATTTTGGTTACAATTTTAAGTTTTTTGTGATAAAGATTTTATCTATACATGATTATTCAAAGTTCTTTCTTTTACTTTCGGTCATAGCTGAAGTTGATTTTGGTCTCGTTTCTCAATGTGGAGGGAAAGAAGCATGTGTCTCTTACAGCACAATGGAAACAGTGTAGCTGTCTTTGTGTGTGTGTGTGTGTGTGTGTGTAGCTGCCAGTAGGAATGACCCACAGCACGGCAGTGTTCCACACAGTGCCAACGGTCATCTTTCTCTTCTGCCTTCGCCTCATGACGCATATATGCTAACCTCTACCTATGTGTATATCTGTGTGTTTGTGAACATACATATATTTCAAGAATATGTGTATGGGCATCAATATTTATAATACTACAAAGATACAGTGTATTACAATAGGTCTTTTGAGGTCTTTGTTTTTGCTTGACAGTGTTTTCTCAATGTGATTAACTAGACTTCTATTGTAATTAGATTTCTTTTCCATGAGGTGCAAGGATATGCTGCTTTTTTGTGTCGACGTAGGAGCATTATCAGTTTGTCTTTTATTTTGAAAAGAGAGACAAGACTTATGTCAGTCTAGGTCGCTGCCAAATGTTGTAAATAACGGGGACAGCTGGACACAAATCTGACAGTGCAGGTTCAAGGCAACGTGACATACTGTACGCTTGCAGCCATGTTCTTTTCCGACACCAAAGAGTTGCTTAATTTCACAGAGTTGTCTTGATTTTCCCAAATGGTGTAAGAGTCGGTCTGGATTCCTGGGACAGCACTACTAAGCCAAGAAGTCAACTGTGTGTAGGGGTGAAAATAGATCAGCTTTAGCTTCTTCCTGCAGGCGTGACACCCTCATTACCGTCCCAGACTGCTGTTGGTGTGTTTAGAGGACAGGTGAATCTGAAGAGTTCATTCCAAAATGAGATATCCACCAAAGAAAATCATGGAACACAGACTCCTGGAAAACAGTCGCAGTCATAGACTTAAACTCAAGAGATGCTGTGAGAGGTTTTGAGACCTTTTCTTAGATTGGAGAGTATTAAACCGTGTAGACATCAGAGTTGTCGAGTTATCAGTTTCACCAAAAAATGTTTTTTCCATGATGGATATTAAGCATTTTGGAATAAAACCCTTCATTTTTAACTGGCTGGTTTTAATCTGCTCTACTAAAAACTACTGAGGTAAACCCATTTGAGAGAGCAGGGATGTGGGTTTTGCACTATTTTTTGTACTTAGAATAATTTTGTTAGTATGATTTTTAATGTTTTACTTCTTTCGTGTCCCATTTTCTTCTTTTGAAAGGACCAAAACATGACAGAACCTATGCTTATCTATGTCATTTGCCAATTATGCTGATTGCTTCACTCTCAGATTTGTTTTCAATGTAAGGTTAATGATACTACGATATATTTATATATTTGAAAACAATTATATACATATATATATACTTTTAATTTCAAGAATTATTTAAAATGACAACCTTTAATGTAATCTTTGGGATAGAATAACTCAACATCAATGTCCAAACAATGGTTGTGCATAATTGTCCATCATCCAGACTGGACAGTGAACATTTCTGGTTATATATTGAACACGCTCATCTCAGATTCAAGCTCTGCTACTGCAGGAGGGTCGTCTCCTCTCAGTGGGCCACTGAGACTTTCTAAAAAGTGTGGCCTCGAATTTAAAGTGCTTCGGTTCGCAACATATATGTCCTAAATGGACTCTTATTGCACATTGAAGGATGCATGATATTAAGTGTTTACAAACTTGAAACAACCACGTATTATCCCTCTTAGAGATTGTCTCTTCTGGCATTTGTATTTACCACCATGTTGAACAAAAGTGAAGTTCTCACCACGCATCAGACACGTCTCCATTCTTTTCCTTTCTTTGATCATGCCAAGTGTGTCAGTGTGAGAGATTATATTTATTTTATCGGTACATCTGTTTATGTTACTGTTCTGCTTCATGAAAACTCTTGCTTTCAGTGCGCTGTAAAAATGCATTGAAATGGAAGCTCGGCTCACAGCAGCGTGCAGGAGAGCTCAAGGGTTTCTCAGTCGCCATATACTTCCATCCATCTGTCTTCTGGGATGAATATCTGTGGAGTTGCAGTATTTTCTCATAGTAGGCAATTTTTGTACAGTTTTATTAAAACAAATTTCACATGGATGTCTGACTTAATCTGCTGCCACAAACAATTTAGACTGTAGATACAGTATATATATATAGATATTATTGTGCAATGGAAAATAAATGTAAAACCAATCTTAACATGTTTTGTCTTGTGTTCTTTGATTCTTGTTTTCTTATTTACTCTCTGACTTAATTTAAAAATGAATGCTTCATTGGCTCCAATATGGAAAGTGTTTTTTGCCTCCTCAGATCAGAGGTCGTGTCAGCTACAGATTACAGATCAAGCAGCCTGGTGGTGTGTTGTCCAACACTGATAGTCCTGAGGGAAGTCATTTTGCCTCCTTGACCTATGGTTGTTTGTGCAAAATTCGATATTCAAAAAACTTTGGAGATACTTTTCTGCATCATGACAACAACACAACAAAACTACTGTGACTTTGCACACTTGTCTTTAGTTCATAGTTTGTCATCTCTTGTATTTAGTCTCCTGTTTATTTATTTAGCAGAGTACTTTACTGTGTAATCTAGTACTTTATTGTCTATTATTTACTTGGGGAGTATAGACAGTTTTAATCCCAATTTTTTTTTTTATCATTTCACAATTTGGGATCAAAAAAGTGCATCTATCCATTGCTGTCTCTCTCTTTATCTGTCCATCTCTCTCTATTCATCTCTTTCCCTCTATCATTTATCTATCCATCTCTCTTTCTATTCCTCTATTTACTACTCTATCTATTCGTCTCTCTCTCTCTCTCTCTTTGTATCTATATATATATCCATCTCTCTATCTCTCTCTCCATCGAACTAATTAACAGAAACGAATAATCTACTTATACTAGAATTGTAAAAAAGTATTTTATCATATTTTATTATATTTTGTCTCCTGCCTGTCCCAGAAGCCCCTGCAGGTGGCGCTGTTGTCCTCGGCGGGGTCTCCTTCTCTCCAGCGGCAGCAGCGGCAGCATCCTCCTCCTCACACCGTCTGAGGCGGCGGACTGAGCGGAGCCACGAGCAAAGTTGAGACGGTCTGAAGCCGGAACACAAAGTCAAACCTCAGCGAGTCCTCCGCGAACAGGTAGAGAACAAATACTACTTCAGTATTTTACCCCGCACGAGACTCTTACTCCCGTTTCCTCCGTGTGTATGATGTGTATTTACCGCCGGGGCTCCGGCGACAACCTTGTAAGTGTTGCTCCGGGTGAGTGTCGGATGGACCGGCGGCGTCTCGTCTCTCCAACGGTTGCGGTGAATGAGACAAAGAGGATGGAAGCAGCGGGAGAGGAAGCCAACTGTTACCGTGTACCCCTCCTCCGTCCATCCGAAGCCCCCTCGTCTTCAGCGGGGGGGAGATTTAAGAGAAACCTGCTCCACTCGGCTTTTCTAACGATAACTCGAGGACTCCGTCCACCGAGGAGAAGCTGCTGGAGTCAGGGACACCGGACTCCCTGGTCCCCTGACCCGTAACTTCGAGTAACAGCTCAGCCTCTTAAGTAGCTTTAAAGTTCAATTCAATCTGATTTGCATTAGTCCAAATAACAGCATTCATTATAATCTCATAGAGGATCCCAACAACAGGGATGAGTTGTTTTTTTCGTAGTTCAGCTCACTCCTGTTGAGAGTTAAAGGAATAAACTCATCCATTACTCACACTGTGCTGATGGAGGGTGGGTGAAGTGTTTGAGACCACAAAACACCAAATCCAATACAGTTGCAGTAGCTGGGGACCAGAGAGGAAATCAGAGGACACAGTCTAAAAACCTGGTAAATGATTTTGTTTCACAGGAGCAGTATGGAGGAGTTTATGTTTTGTTTTCTAGTACTTTTTAAGATGTAACAGAAACTTCAATTGTATTGGATTTGGCCGAAACGCTGTTTAACCCTGAAAGTGTTCTGTGGACTCCAACACTTCCCCCACCCTTCAGTCTGCACAGTGGTGAGTAGATGTGGGTTTTCATTTTCGGGTGAGTCATCCCTTTAAGGACAGGGGATGTTGCACCTTGTTAAGCCCTGTGAGACAAATTGTGATTAGTGAACATGAGCAATACAAATACCATTTGATTGATTTGGGCGGCCATGTGCCTCGGGAGTGCAAAGGAAAAATGGGGTAGGAGATGTTAAAGGTCAGGGTCAACCAACAACCCTGACACTGATCTCGATGAAAAAAACTTCAGCGGGGGGGCGTCTGTTTTTTTTAAGCAGATTTCACAGATTAAGTGGTGTCTGGGCGGCTGCAGCTCAGGAGGTTGAGTGGTTCAAACTCAGTCTCTGCCGCTCAAGTGCCCCTGCACATAGATGCACCGCATGAATGTGGGAATGACAAAACTGTAGTTCAGTGGCACAAGAACAATTTTGGGAGAAAGGAGATGCCCCCAGGAGATGTCAAAGTTCCGGGTCAACAATCGACCCTGAAACTGTCTTTGCACAAGAAAACCTCTTTCTCCTTATGTTTCCCATATTAAATGGAGGCTGAGTGGGTCAAACAACCAGTCGATAGTTCGATCCTGGTTCTCTGTGTCCTTAGGCAAGACACAGATATTTCCGAGGCGGTAAATTGCAGCGTGGCTTCACATGGAGTTCAACTTTGGTGAACTTTGACCTGCGATATTTGTCTCACCATCGCGTAAAGTGTGTCTTTGTGCAACAGCGGTTTGAGTGGTCATCAACAGTAGAAACACGTTCATCTTCCATTCTGACAGTGAACAGTGTTTCATTCACCACCTACCTACAGTATAATCTCTAACTGTGTGTCTGCTCTGTTTTCTAGGGCTCTTCCAACATCTAATAGATGTGTCTGCTTTGGAGAATTGACCCTAGAACTGTGTGTAACGTGGGGATTACATGGGTCACAGCGCTGGAGAGCCTCAGCAGCAATGTGAATGGAGATGATGGTTTGCACCTAAGGTAGACGCCTCCCTGCATCCTGTCTCAAGATGAGCCAGGGGCCAAACCTCGTCCTCGAGTGGCTCTCCAAGCTCCATCTCTCCCAGTATGTGGAGGCCTTCATAGACAACGGGTACGACGATTTGGAGGTTTGCAAACAGATCGGGGAACCGGACCTGGATGCCATAGGTGTCCGCATCCAGTATCACAGGCACAGGCTGCTCACAGCGGTGGAGAGGCTTAAAGAGGAGGAGGATAGAAAGGCAACGGGTTACTATTTCACCTTAGAGCCTCTGGATGCCTCTGCCTGTCACCACACGTCACAGTCAAACCAAGAGGATGACTTCTTGACACTGGGGTCACACACAGGGACCACAGCAGTGCACCAGGTCTCCTGTCCTGGAAACCATAACCTGAGATTCACAGATTGTAATGACTTTGTGACTTATCCCAAACTGAAGCTGAAGGTACTGATGAGGGATAAACTTGCTAAAGATGGGATTAACCTTGGAGAAGCACCTTACACCCATAAGGTAGGCAATCTTTGCTTCATTTTACGCTATGTTGCTTGCTTTCAAAGCGCTGTCTCGTGAAATTTAACATGCTCACTTTGTTATGTAAGTGATGGAGAGTGTGTCAAATTTGTGTGATGGTGCTGACGTGCAGGGATTCTTCTCTGTCTCTCCATTGATGCTTTGGTTTCTTTTTGCAAAGGAAATGATTCAGTGTCGTCAAATGTCCTGCCTCTTAATTTGCTCAAAACTTTTTCTCACTAGTTCAGTTAAATTAATTAATTTTAATTTAATTGGGTGCTGAGTGGAACAGCACCTCGGTGGTGTGTGACTATAAGTGGAAATGTTTTTTTGTCTCTGTGTGTTTGCCCTGCGATTCCTACTGTCCAGGATGTACCCTGCCTCTCACTGCGGGGTCATCTGGGATTGGCTCCCTCTCTCCCCACGACCTTGAAAGGATAATAGATAATGGATGGATGGATGCACTTTAGGCCGGCTTTCCAACTGTTATTTTTGTCTTTTTGCTCCATTTCTTGTCTCACGCATGTCAGGAGTTTCCCAGAATCATTCAACTTTCAATGAACTGGCGTGAACTTGAACTTTCACACTTCAAAAATAGGGTGTTTAATCTATATAGCTATAAATCTGTAGAAGAGTTTTGAGCTCAGAGTGTCTGTGCTTTAAACACACGGCTAATATTTTTGCTATAATGTCAAGGGCACCTGTGACTCAGGAGGCAAAGTGGGTCGTTCATTAGTTCCGGAGTTTGATCTCATAAAGGAAGTGTCTTTGAGGAAGAGGCTGAACATCATTGCATGTGATTGGTCAGAGCAGGGTGTAGACATTGTGTGTGCAAAGGAATGAATGAAAGGCTCATGATTAAATTTAAATAGCTTCTGATCAACGGGAGGAAAAGGACTAAACCAGAACTCAAAATGCCGTAGCTCCAGACATTCAGAAGACATCAGGGTTTTAAGTTTTGTTAAACATAAGCCCTGTAGCTCATAGTTAACACATCACATGTTGTTGTCAAGACTTAAAGGCCCTCTGACCTCACAGGGAGAGCTCAGTAGGGCAATGGATCAGTTCGCTATAGCGACAGATGTTTACTCTGGATGAATGACACATTTACTGATGGTGTGGCATTTTGTTTCCGGGGATCCTCTCTGTTCTGACAGCAGTCCAGTCTGTGTTGCCTGCAGACAGTGCAGAGATTGTTAGTTAATGTAATTGCTCAGAATAGTCAGTCCACTTTGGTATTGACCAAATCCCTTAATATACTCACTGAATGTTCTGAAGCCAGTGCGACGAGAAGCTGAGAGGCACTGGGGTTATTTTCAACAATCTGTCGCTATCATCGCAGGGCGTGATTGATGGATTCTGGATTGGATTGTGTCACAAAAACTGCTGTCTGCGAGCAGGCACTACTGGTGATATCATTCTGTTGCAGCTGTATCGTAACACACTGTCAGACTGAATCCCTGCTAAGTAGCACTGTTGGAGATACTGAACCACCCAAGAATATTTTTACACATCCAGACAGATGGCACACTTTAGGCTGTCACAGCAGTGGCCCTCAGCCGAGACAGAACTTTTTCTTTTAATGCACAGTAATCCTCGTCTTGGTTTTGTCTCTCCTCAGCTGACACAAGTTTAAAACACTTTTCCTCAATAATTAACGAATGTGGTCTGAAGGACTGACGAGCTAGAAACAGCATTCCAGTTTGACTGAACGGATCTTTTTGTCACAACAAATCATAGAGAATTATAAGCCTAAGTCACATTAGTGTGGATTTTCCCAAGCCGTCCTGTGGAAATGTGCCCATTTGCCATATTCTAATTTATTCTAACCATGGCCATCTATTTGGAAAAGTTGATTTAATTCCTCTGTACTGCCACAAGCTTTAAAATAGTTGCACCATACATATAAAACTGTTTGGTTCTGGACAGTTTTACGGCTACAAGCATATGCTGTTCATGAAAGATTCAGAGGCTACAAACTAGTAAGTGCACAGGCACTTTGTGGTTTACTTACAATGTTTTTGTAGGTTTCAACCAATAGTAGCACAGTTAGATTCAACGAGAAAAACAATCCAAAACTCTCCAGCTCTCGAGTCAGTACAGTCATTCAGGGCTGTAAGTTCATTCACGGGGCAAAACCTACGAATCGCACTGAAAGAGATTTGACTGTAGTCAATGGGATAGTAGCTACACTCAAGAGTTAGATGATGCCTCCTCTACTAAGTAAAAAAGAGCCTCAGTAACAAAGTCTGACAGGATGTGGTGAACATCTGGAGTATTATATCATGCTCCCACATTTCAGTAGGAGGTTCGGCAAACTTCTCGGCTCATAAAGTTCGTCCCTTTTGATCCTTCTCTGTACTTGCATTATAAAAACAAATGTGTGAGTATTGAGCACCAGCTTGTTTCACAGCAGCTTGATTTAAAACAATCAGGTCAGAGTGGTCGGCTCTGCGTGATAACAGCCTTTTGGAGCAATTTGGCTTTTTTGGTTCATCAGATCTAGTCCATGAAACTGTTGCAGGATGCAGGTATGTAGGCCAGCAGGGCCCATTTTCTTACCAGGAATAGCATACAGCTTCAGGCTAAGTCTAACTGCCAGCAAGCCTTTTTTATCTCAAACCTCAGCAGAAGTTTTGCCAATATAACAGTAGAATATGTGCTGTGGTTTGTGATTAGATATAGTTCGTGATTTTGGTTCTCTGCCATATGTTTGTTTGTCTGCAGGATTATGCAAAAACTATTTCCACGAAACTTGATGGAAGCATCCGACATGCATCATAACAACCCATTCAATTTTGGAGCAGATCCATGATTTCTTTTGTGAGATACAGCATATTTTGATATTTTTTACCAATTTCACAGGGAATCATTTATAGAGTTTGATGAGAAAAACAGGCATATTTATTGAACTGATATTTACTGAGTTTGATTGATTGACTTCATGAGCTTTGGCAGAGATACTGTATGTGCTCAACATTTGCCATTCTAGTTGCTATATAATCCATAGTATAATTCATTGTTGTGCTTTTCTGTTCTTATTGGTCAAAATGGTGTCAAGTGATGGTTTCAGGGTGCTGTCACAGAACTGTCATGTTAAGTCTGGGTTGTGTCTCATAACCACAAGTTTGATTTTCACTTCACACAGAAATGAAGGGAAAATGTTCGCAATGATCTTTGGTTGAAGAATGAAGAACATTTTAAACTCAACATACAAATACCATAGAAAGTCTTCCAGTTGATACACTTTATTGGAATGAAGTTCTTATTGTTGTACCTTTGCAATTTAAAAAAATCAAATCAAATCAATTTGTCTACATCGGCTATGTTTGAGATCGAAAAGCAGTATGGCTCTTCCTCTGGGGCTTTTCTGTCTGCAGTTCACAAATAGCAGTGGTTTTGATCTGCAGTCCCACTATGCCGCAGTCTGGGTTTGATAGTGCAATCAATTCCCAATGAGTAATGTGCTTTTCTGACTATTCTTCGCGCATGACTAGTTCATGCAGGCCCCACAGGACCGATTGGGGACTTTGAGAGTGAGGAGAAAAAAAGTTAATGCGATTAAAGCTGGTTGAGCTGTAAATGACCTGAACACTGGCACCACGACAAGTGTTTCACTGGAAGTGTATTAGGGATTTTCCAAAAATTGATTTCACACAAAGGCAACATGGAAAAGCAAAATTAGGCTTCAAAATAAAAACTCCCATAAGGTTGCCTCTCACCAAAGTAGAAACTAAACAAACATTTCACAGCCAGACGTTGCTTTAATGGAGCTGTAAGTGCTTTAGTCGAGTCTTGTCCTCACATTTTGCACTCCAGTATTTTGACTTCATTCATAATTTACAAGTTTAGAATTTCAAGTTAAATTAAAAGCTTTACACACCCTGCCGATTTGAACTCAAGTTGTCAAGATGACTAACAAGCTTTCTAGAGGAGTGTCACACGATAAGCTTTGTACAAAAAAACATTCATTACATTGTTCATGACCCACCAACCCTGATTGGTATTGTCCCTTTTTAGTCGTCTTAACAATGTGCCTCAACTACCCAGAAGGCCTCATTGCAGTTTCTGGCCTGAAAACATCTGAGAATAGGGAACAAATCTTAGTTGTTCAAAAGATTTCCCTCTGTTGCTCTGCCAGAGGATCGAAGGACAAGAAAAACCAGCAAGTGGCCTTTTTGACAGAAGAAAAGCCTCTCTGAATAGAGCCTGGCAAAATACAAGCTCTGCAGCAGCTGACAGCTGTCTCTGCCTTTGTCGCTATAAAAACGAGACTGAATAGACATGTTTTTATTGAAAACAGTTGGTTTTAAAACACCAGCTTCAGTTTCACCATGAGAACCAGTGCAACGTAATGAGGGACAGAAAGGATCTGTAAATAAAGGAGAGAGGTGATTTTGTAGTTTAATGGTTGATAACATCAATAGTTTTCTTCTCCCTGCTTCTTAGCCCCTCATAACCCTGAGCAGGATGAGTGGGTACAGATAATGAGAGAGATGTTACTGTGTGGTCTAATATGCATGTCTGGTAATATT